AATACAGCTGGCCTATGTAGAATTAGTGTTTAGTGTTAATATATATATAAATGATACCATCAGTGGTAGTGGCTAGCTTTATGCCTGCAAGATATAGAATTCAGCTAGCTAGTTGGCTGGCCTGATTTTTCACTACAGGTAGAATCAAGCTTGCCAGTATGCAATTCTGTAACCAATGACTGACCAGCCTTGATTCTACTGTTGTAGAATCAAACTGGCCAGGATGCAATGTTGAAACTGATAACTGGCCAGTCTTGGTTCTACATGTTGTAAAATCAAGTCAGCCAGTCACTTGTTATTAAGTTGCATACTGGCCAGATAGCTTGTACAACATGTAGAATCAAGACTGGCCAGTTATCACTTCCAACATTGCATCCTGGCCAGTTTAATTCTATAGAAGAATCAAGGCTGGCTAATTATTGGTGTGGGATTTCTATACTAGTACTAGTCATTAGTTACAGAATTTCATACTGGCCAGCTATCAGTTTTAATATTGCATCCTAACCAATTTAATTATACAATAGTAGAATTAAGGCTGGCCGGTTTTCAGTTCCAACATTGCATCCCAGCCAGTTTGATTTTACAACAGTAGAATCAAGACTGGCCAGTTATCAGTTCCAACATTGCATCCTGGCTGGTTTGATTTTACACCAGTAGAATCAGGGCTGGCCAGTTATCAGTTCCAAAATTGCATCCTGGCTGGTTTGATTTTACACCAGTAGAATCAGGGCTGGCCAGTTATCAGTTCCAACATTGCATCCTGGCCGGTTTGATTTTACAACAGTAGAATCAAGACTGGCCAGTTATCAGTTCCAACATTGCATCCTGGCCGGTTTGATTTTACACCAGTAGAATCAGGGCTGGCCAGTTATCAGTTCCAACATTGCATCCTGGCCGGTTTGATTTTACAACAGTAGAATCAAGACTGGCCAGTTATCAGTTTTAATATTGCATCCTGGTCGATTTAATGGTACAATAGTATAATTAAGGCTGGCCAGTCATTGGTGTCAGATTTCTATACTGACCAGCTTGATTCTACTACAGGTACAATTATGGCTGGCCAGTCATTGCTTATAGAATCAAGACTGGTCAGTTATTGGTTCCACATTACATCCTGGCAAGTTTGACTCTACCACAATAGAATTAAGGCTGGCTGGTTATTGGGTTCCACATTTCATACCGGCCAACTTGATTCTGTCTGTTGTAGAATCAAGGCTAGCCAGTTATTGGTTTGAGACTTCTATACTAGTCATTAGTTACAGAATTTCATACTGGCCAGATAGCTTGTACAACATGTAGAATCAAGACTGGCCAGTTTAATTCTACAGTAGAATCAAGCCTGGCTAAGTATTGGTTTGAGATTTCTATACTAGTCATTAGTTATAGAATTTCATACTGGCCAGATAGCTTCTACAGCATGTAGAATCAAAACTGGCCAGTTATCAGTTTTAATATTGCATCCTGGCCGGTTTAATTGTACAATAGTAGAATCAGGGCTGGCCGGTTTTCAGTTCCAACATTGCATCCCGGCCGGTTTGATTTTACAACAGTAGAATCAAGACTGGCCAGTTTAATTCTACAGTAGAATCAAGCCTGGCTAAGTATTGGTTTGAGATTTCTATACTTGTCATTAGTTACAGAATTTCATACTGGCCAGATAGCTTCTACAGCATGTAGAATCAAGACTGGCCAGTTATCAGTTTTAATATTGCATCCTGGCCGGTTTAATTGTACAATAGTAGAATCAAGGCTGATCAGTCATTGGTTTCAGATATGTATACTGGTCAGATAGTTCCTACAACATGTATGATCAAGACTGGCTGGTTATTGGTTTCAACATTTCATACCGGCCGACTTGATTCTGTCTATTGTAGAATCAAGGCTAACCAGTTATTGGTATCAGAATTACATGGACTGCATAGGGTAGATATAAGCTAGTTATATACTCTTATAAGGGCCAGCCATGTACATACATGCTGTAGGAACCATCTGGCCAGTCCATATCTTAGATACAATTATCTTGGCCAGCTGTGGACTACATAGAGTGGAGCTAGTGCTAGCTAGGCTACCTTGTCATTCATTAGCATTGAGAATTATCCTGTCATATTTTTCCTAGCAAAGACAGTATACCACATCAAAGTATAAATTGACATCCATTGAAATTTTTCTCCGCCTCCTCAACAAATCTTCCCCACATCAAGACCTGCTGATAAGCATAGGCTTGATGACCAGGTCTGGTGGCTTGGCCACCCCTTCTCTCCCATTCATTCTGGTGGTACTTGAACCAGTTTATGGTCCAACCCATTTCATGTCTTACCAGCCTTAATTCCTCTTGCCATCTATTCCATCTAGCCTTAGCCTTCAACCAGTTCACCCTGTAGACTAGATCGGTTGGAGCTTTAGTGACATATCATAGAGATAAATATTTTTTCTTACATTCATCTATCCAGGCATCGTCTTGACCTTGGCTTGCATTATTTCCCCTCCAAAACCAAGCCAGCCTGTCTGATCCTTGTCCAAATCTATGTTCTTCTGTCACCTCTTTGTCTATACTGAGCTCTGTAGGCGATATTGGCTGATAAAGACTCCCCAAGGTGGCTTTGTCCATGCCTAGACCTTCCATTGCTGACCTTGCCCTCTGATAGCTTCTTACACACTTGTCAATTTTGAGCTGACAGCGTTGAGCTTCTTGCTTTGACCTAGTCCCAGCCCATGTTGAATTAGCACTTCGAAAATACTGACGATAGATGATGGCCTTATGACCAAGGGCCATTCGGAGCTTTTTGAGGCAGTCATTGGCTTGGCCCTTTCGAAGTTCTAATTCTTCAACTTGGAGGGGACCCAGTCCGAGAGCCAATGCATCCTGGTAGGGCACTGATGATGGCATCCAGATACCCATCTCTTCAGCCAAGATTTCTTCATCAATATACTCTGAGATCTCTTCATCTGAGACCTCTCCCCAAACATTTTCATCATGACCTGCATAGCAGAATCTAGGATTGTTAGAATGCACTGTTGCAGTTCCAAGATCCATACCAGCAGTCATGGCATCAGCTGTTTCATGAAATTTAGCAATCCTAGCTGTCAATCTCTGTCACTTCTCTTCTATAGAAGCTTTCTGTCCTGGGGTTGCATTAGTAGGAAGTTGTCAAATATCTGCCCTTAGTCCATCCCTAAAATAGTACTAAGTCAAACTGTTTCTCTATTTGTATTGGTTACATACTGTAAATCCTCCAGATTGATGCCAGTAATGAGCCAAGAGACTGTCCCAGGTTTGCCAGTGTCAGGTATTCTCAGACTCAGTTAATTTGAGTCTAATCTCTGCCATAGTTGGAGCTAGATACAAATACTGATTAGACGTCTATACAAGAATAGCAGCCTCACAACTAGACAGAGTTCACTTACCTTTGTTCATCTGCAACTGATAGATGTCAAGATACTCTCCACATTGTTCCATGGCCTTTTTCTCATCGATCTTCCACATCAAAATCTTCTCAGGGTCCAGAGACAGAGTGAGCTCGTCAAAGGGAGACTTTGTGTCATCAACACCTTTGAGAGCCCATTTGTACTTTTTCAAGAGAGTTTTCACTGGAAGCTCAATTTTCAAGCTTTATCAAATGCAAAATTTGGAGTGCTTACTTATTCCCACTATTTTTTTCCAGTTTGAGTCTCGCATATGATCATCAAGAACTTCTTGACGGTGTGCCTGACTCATTGACCGAGCAGTTGGGGAGATCTTATTGAATGGTGCCCACAGAGTCTCCAAAATCTCCCCATCAACATGTCCAGCCCCTTGAATAAAGTTGAGGCTGTACCTTGCAAAGCAAGCCAATTTGTGAGCGCTAAGATGGAATTTTCCAACTGCTGGAACAATGTGCATATTTTCAGGTACAGACAAGCCCTTGCTCTGGGCTACTCTCTGTAGAAAATTAATGCTCCACTGACACCCCACATCATAAATGATGAGGGAAGAGTCTATACCAGCTGAATGATAATTCAATGCATTGCATATTGAGTAGTCGATATTCATGTGTCTAAAAATTACCTGAGCTTGCATAACATGTTGATTTGGAGGACATACACAGACCTTTCACCCTTCTGAAAATCAACTATACTATGAGGAACAAAGCATCCATGTCGAGCACAAGCAGTTGCTCCTACACCTGTAGCTCGAAGATTGCTCCTGCTGATATTGGCTGCATTTACTGCACGATGATTGCTGCAAGAAGACCGCTACAAAGATAGTGAAGCCATAAGGAAAAGTGGTTGTCATGAGCCAACTCACCTCTTTACTTTCTACAGCCGATGACAGATGAGTCTGGTATTCATGATCTTTCACCATATACCCAAGCCCGTCTGACAAACTAATGTCCAACTGTGGTTTTCTTATTACCATATGCTGAGCAGTGAAGTTCCCGTCTACCACATATCTTTGTGAAACAAGCCAACTGTACAAACAGGTAAGCATAAGGTTAAAAAAGTGCAAAAAATAAAGTAGAAGTTTCTCTCCGAACTAACTCTGGCTGGCATGTCTTTGGGTGACATCTATGCACCTCAGTTTAACCGGCCAGCACGGTTATGCATGCTATCTGTGTCAAGCTAGCAAGCCAATTTAATGTGCTGGCCGGCCTGGTTTTACATCCAGTCTATATCATGCTGGCCAGCTTGATTAGAACATAAGTCAACCCGGCCGGAGCTCTTGTACACTATGCAGTGTAGGGCTAGCCAGTGAGTATGATATTCTCAAGTGTAGTAGGGAAATTAAGCCGCCTCTCCTTAGAATGAGACCATAGATAAATGACTTGCCTTTCATATCTGGCTTGCCAGTCAGGAGGTAGGTTAATCCCAGGCTGTGGACAAGCAGGGCAAAACCAAGCCAGATCACCCTTGTCCGGTTTCTGCTCATCATTATGGGCAAACCCAAACCATTTTCGACTCATCAAGTCTCTCCACAGTCGAGACACTCTCATGAGTTCTCGATATCTATTCTAGAAAAACAAATTGGTACTGTTAGTTTAACTTTCACCAAGAAGACTTATAAGACTTACAGGAACAGTATCTGGGAAACAGTTATTGGTCATGCGACAGATTTTTTCAAAGAAGCTGGATGCTGAAGTCTTGCACTCCAGTGCGTCAATTAGAAAATGATTTAAGACATCAAAAGTAAAGGCAGTCTGTGGTCAAGTGGTACTTGCTGGAAATAATTTAGCTTTCAGCAATTGCAAATGCTGCTGACAATCGACCCCAGGACAGCTGCACCAGACAATGTTATGCAAAAACACTCCAGTGGAATGTACAATGGTCAACTTGGTTGGTATAGTTGGACCATGAACTGTCTCTGTCGGTGGGAAATCGGCCTCTGCGTCCATTGGAATATTCTCCCATGCATGCATGTCATCAGAAAATGGACATGATTGTCCCCCATGGCCCATATGCCAGATAAAACCTAATTCTTCAAGTGATGTGTCTTTGAAGCATTTCCCAGTCCACTCTTGAACCTTGTGGAAGGGCAAAACTGGTGAGCATTGACAATGCAAGAATGACAGAATGTCTGATCTCCACTGCAAGTCAAACAGCGGAATTTCCCTTCACTAATCTGACAAGACTGGCACTGGGATACATTGGAGGGTTTCTCCAAGTCAAGGAGAATATCCAAGTACAAGTCTCGGAAAGGCAGATATTCTTGGATAAAGTCATTTGTGTCTGGTCGTAATAATCTCTATTTAGTACATCATTAAAAGACACTGAATCACTATGCTTGCCTTGGTTTTTCTTTGTGAGTTCTCTACATAAGAAACAAAGTCACCAAGGGTTTGTCTATCAAAATCTTCATGACTGTTTTGCAACCCTTGAGTGTCTTCTCTAATACATTTACGAGGGCTGGAGGATGGAGATGGTGTTGGGGCAGTGTCATAAAGGCTATCAGCGCATGATTCCACCCAGGTTGGCTTCCTTCTCTTTCCAATGACTTGTTTATGAGACACATAGGCAACATCAAGGTCCTTGCCTTTAGACAAACGACCTCTTCCTTGGAAGGAAAATGTAGCTGCCTTGAGTCGAGTTTTTTTCTGGGGAGACATAGGGTTACGTGTGGGGGAAAAAATTGATATTATCAACATTCTATTTTTGATAGTTGAAATCATTCATAGGAATCACTAGAGCGCATCAACTAATCTAGTAGGTATACTGTCAAACACTTGATTTGTCCCATTCCACCCCTCCTCCTCCAAGAACCACTCCTTCCTTATCATCTACTTGTCACAACCAAGAACTATCCTGCTGCCCCACCATCTTCAAAAATAGGCCTGTGTTGGAAAGGGGGGTCTGGATACCCCGACTCTAGAGTGGATTTTATCCCTCATAAAATGGGCAATAACAAGCCTTTCTCCTGGACCCCATGGACCAATAGAATGTTGTAAAACCTTCCCGGAAATGAAGACCATTGTCCCAGGGTAATAATCCAGTTCGGCCCCAACATCTGCTAACGTCAACTTAGCCTCATGGCCACTGCCTAAACTAATCAGAAGATCAAAAAGGGAAGGTGCGCCACCAGAATCTCTGTGTGATAAAGTTGTATGATTTGCAATTATTTCCAATCCTGAGAAGATCGAGGGCCAATGACAGATGGGTGGCGATGTTCTATCAGAACCTTGAAGCTCCTGAATAATGCGAGTGATTGCCAAGGTGCCTGCTTCAAATAGATCTGGAGCCGATACAGCGGTAATGGCATTCCAGAAAGATTCAGTAGCTGATAAAGTAGCTAGCCACTCTTGGACTTCCACAGACTTATAGGAAGCCGAGGTCACCATTGGGTCTTCCAGTCTCTGCAAATGAAATCAAACAAAGTCAAAAGTAGCTAAACAACCACTAAATTTGGCCTATACCTCGTGTCTTTGCATAAAATATGCTGGTGATACTGTGACTCTGCCTGCTCCAAATTCCCCACCCCCCTCTGGGACAACAAAGCCTTGAGATCGCCAAGACTGTTGGGTGGAGGACGTAATTGTTTCAAGAAGTAAAGTCCGTAAACCCTTAGTGGCTGAGTTCACATATTCCTAATTTAATTTATCAATTGATGAGGGGAATTCCCAAGGAAGAATGAACATACAACCCGAGAAGAAGACAGAATATTTGGCAAGTAAATTGTTAAAATTTTACCTTGCCGGTCCACAATAGTAGCTGGTACTGAAATTTTACCGATCATAGCTGCAGAAAAGTACTTTGGTAGCTGATCAGTATTAGCGAGGGGACCATCAGATTTAGGTGTAGAGACTTTGGTCATTTCGGCAAATCTGTCAACATCCCAATCCACATAATCTGCAAATGATGTGAATTTAAAACCAGGTGATATCTTGCAGAGTGAAATAACTCACAAGGATTTACCATTGCATGGGCAACTGTCAGTGCAGCTCGATTGATCTCATATTCTGAGATTGACCCAGAAGTATGGAAGTTGACATCATGTGTTGCTAAGCAACTGTCTAGCTCATGTCCAATTCTTAATCTTAAGTGAGACCATTTAATAGAGCGGATCAAATAAGGCCCTAAATATAACCTCACCTTGCTTTGTGTAGAAGGTGAGTTTGCAATATCCCCCCTCTGAAGATCCCTGTTGCTGATGATTTTCCCATAATTTCCTTGATCCTTGTGGTCAGAGCTGCTCTCAGCTTGGTTGATTGACTCATTTGTTGGTCCATGGTGAGCAAGGAAAATTTTCAACCAGCTCATTCGGATCAAGACTCAATTTAACTTATATGAAATGATTCTGAAAAAAATTGTCCCACGATCAAATTTGGATATATGAATGGAATCTACTGATGGAAGACGGATTAAATGAAGTCTTGCCCAGATTGTGACATGATCCATGTGACATAATTAGTACTGTAATAACTCACTCAGATGTGGAAGAGTGAAGACTAATATTGGCAGACTACCACAGAAGAATGAATGATATTCTGAATCTGGAACTACACTGTGGGATCCCTGTCTCAAATAGCAGGAGACACTTCCAGCTGGAGTTCAACACCTTGAGAGACAGCAAGGACTCACTTATTAAGAAAGCAATCGCAATAACAGTAGTGTATAATAGTAAATTGGCATCCGGCAGATATTGGCAGGACACCAGGACAAGTAGCAATGACGCCATATGATACAAACTGCCCTGCACCATCAGAAGGCTGACTCTTCCCTTCTGACCATGGAGGGGAGATACCTCTGAGGTTACCTCTGAGGCATATACTGGCTAGCCTGCCCTCAAAACTGTTCATGTTAAGAGTTCTGCCTCAGAGGTAACCAGTTAGCTACACCTATACTGTAGGGTATTGAAAATGTTTTCTTTGTTAACCGAAGACAACATTCTCAATACCCTGCAGTATAGGTGTAGCCAACTTACCTCTGAGGCAGAACTCTTAACATGAACAGTTTTGAGGGCAGGCTAGCCTCTAAGCGGCCTGCAGGGTTTCTCAATACCCTGCAGTATAGGTGTAGCTAACTTACCTCTGAGGCATATACTGTAGGGTATTGAAAATGTTTTCTTTGTTAACCGAAGAAAACATTCTCAATACCCTGCAGGCCGCTTAGAGGCTAGCCTGCCCTCAAAACTGTTCGTGTTAAGAGTTCTGCCTCAGAGGTAAGTTGGCTACACCTATACTGCAGGATATTGAGAATGTTGTCTTCGGTTAACAAAGAAAACATTTTCAATACCCTACAGTATAGGTGTAGCTAACTAAGTATTACCTCTGAGGCAGAACTCTTAACACGAACAGTTTTGAGGGCAGGCTAGCCTCTAAGTGGCCTGCAGGGTATTGAGAATGTCCGTCAGTCCAAAATATGCTAGTGTGCTGCAGAAGGCAATTTCAAAGAAGAATCAACCTTCTGACTGGGAAGGGAAGGTTGTATCATATGGTGTCATGGCTACTTGTCCTAGTGTTCTGCCACCATCTGCCTATGCCAATAGTATATTTTGACTGGCAGACAATAATCAATGATAGCGTCCTTCAGCATGTCAATGGTGAGCTGCATCAAGGCAGAATTGAGATCTACATAACACATTATTTATCTAAGACATGTAGTAGATAATTGTTGCTTTGTTGCTTTGGTCTGTGCAGTGTTTGATTATTATTATTATACACTACTGTGCTTTTGCGCTTGCTTTCTTAATAAGGCTCTTTGCTAATATACACACGGTCACGTGACTTTTTCAGCCAGCAGCAAATGAAGTGCGTCCATCAACATACATTTTCAACTACAAAGTACGAGTGACAATGAATTTTACTACAAGTATGCAAACAAATAAAGTAGCAAATACAAAAGGGGAGGCGAGACTTCAATGAGGGGGCCCTCCTCACCAAAGCCTCAACACTCCAGGTGAAAATGTATGTAGCAAATATATATATATAATAAAATACAAATTTGTCCTGTAGAAACGTTAGACCAAAATTTAAGACAAGATTAACACTTAACTAGAGAGCGCTTACCACACAAAAGTACCGGCAGGTTTAGCAGTCTAGAGAACAAAACAGATCAGTTAAGGTCATCAGGAATTGAGCGCTTACCACTGTTAGAAAGTCGGAACAGACTATTGAAAAAGTTGGAGCAGGCTATTAAAAAGTCGGAGCAGGAGCCACTGACAAGTGGCATGCACTGCAATACCGCCAATTCCAAGAAGCAGGAGCCACTGACAAGTGGCATGCACTGCGTGAGCCCCAGTCCCAATAAGCAGGAGCCACTGACAAGTGGCATGCACTGTGCTAGTCCCAATAAGTGAAATACTAAATAAAATAGACATTAGCCCACAGATGCGAGAGAAGAAGGACTTACCATTTGAGTAGAGGTTTAACTGGGCTAGCCCAAGTCAAAAACCGTAAGTATAATACTAAATAGAACAAAGATTAGCAACTGGATGTGAGAGAAGGAGGACTTACCATTGAGCAACTAGAGGGCGCTCAAAAGGAAGGGTGGCTCTCATTGCGCCATCCCTAAGTATCAAAAATCCTATGTATAACAGACATTAGCAAGCAGGTGCGAGAAATGAAGTACTTACCTTGCGAGACCCCAAGGGAAAGAGAGTATATGTAAATGAAAACAATGAGTAAGTAGGCGCGTCAAAAAAAAAATTGAACTTACTATGTTTGAAGGGCGACTGCAGGGTAGTACCTTTGAATTCTTGCAGCTGCAGTCTGCAAGAACCCAAAGGAGTACACCAGAAGTCGCCCTTGAGTAACGGCACTGACAGAAATAAAGTAGGAATGAAGGGGAATGATGAAGGTAAGACGAAAGGAGAGATTGAACCGTGAGAACTGATTGTTGTTGTTCATATGCACGTGTCAGTTTGTTGTTATTTGTAAAGTCACATGATGATCAACAATGAAACAATGAACTGTGTCACTGTGGCACAGTTCATTGTTTCATTGTTGATCATCATGTGACTTTACAAATAACAACAAACTGACACGTGACACAATCAACCAACATTCAAACGTTCAAACTTTGACTTGTCCATCTTCTCTTTGCGCTTGTTTAAAGTACATAATGGTAAGTGTTATTTGGTTCATGTCATTTACTAATTTGATATATCTATATTAGTCTAAACAAACATGCAAGAAGTCCACTGGTGGCACCACGCCACGAATTGCCTTGTCGTTGCCAGCATCTACTGGAGTGGTCACTGCGCCGGGTGAGCTGAATGTGAGAGAGCCGTCTGAACACAACAAGGTAAGTGATTAGTTACCTACTATTTGCACTAACACGCATCTTTATTTGCAGTTTTGTCTCATCTGCAGAGACGGTTCTGTAGGGGAAGATTGCCTCTTCCTCTGCAGCACCTGTCCGTGGGTGATGTGTTCAAACTGCATGAACATCCCGCCTGCCAGTGCATGCATGGTGCAGGCCAATGACGTCACGTTCATCTGCATATCTTGCCACATTGGCATGGAACAACGCGGGTGCGCATCTCAGTTGCCCTATTTTGTAAGTTTTTTCGTGTATTTCATGCTAACTAACATTAACTTCATTTTATAGGGTTTTTACAGGAAGGGGCAGCCGCTCCTTCCTTCATTCCTCCACATTCGTGCTACATTGGAGGTTTCACTCCATTCCCAACTGTCTTTAGCACCCACGCTCATGCTCCATCTCGTCCTTGTCGACCACGACGTCACCGGCGGCTGTTTCAAACTGGCCTCCAAATTCCTTCAGCCATACTTCCCCAGTGGAGGGTTGGAATTTCAGTCCGTCGCATTCGACATCGGCAATGCCTCAAAGATCGACGAGTACCGGTTGCAGGCGACTGCCATCGTCCAGTCGCTGATGAGCTCCAACTGGGCTCGTGTCATCGTCACCATCACTAACCACACCGACAACGAGCATGGGGATCCGTTTATTGGGTACAAGGGCAACAAGAAGTCATATGTTTCAGCACACGTTCACTCTGTAAGTGGCATTTTTTTGACTAACATTGTATTTGCTCATTTGACACCAAAGGTTCTCGATGTTCTGCTTTCACCTTGGCATCCCCTGATTCATGGTGCCGCGGAATCATACTTATGGCTGTTTTCGTGTGGCGCACTCATCAACAACGTCACTTCCTTTTCAGGCTTGCAACAGGCGGTCATAAAGTCCATTTGATCTTATCTTTGCAAATACTAACTAACCCTAACAGTCATCACATCACAGCCACTATTGGCTTTAATGCTGTTCATTTTCAGCCAAGTTTCGCCACGCACCTTTTGCTCGCATTTGCGGAGCTGGTCATCATCGAGTGTTTGCCCATTCACACCATCTTCCCTGACATGTTGGGCCAGTCCTACAAACTTGGGCACCACACTGATGCGTTCTTGCTGATGCCTGACAACTCAGGTTCGTTGGCCATTACCAAGTTCGCCTGGACGCATTCTGAACTTTGCCCTTGGGGTCAGTACCTGCCAGTACAGTGCCCACAGTGTGGGTGGAGTAATGCCTGGTGTTCTGTCAACATGCACAAATATTACATCTTTGAATGCAAGAATGGCCAATGTAGGAAAAAGTATGTATTCTCACAACCACCTCATTCCAGGATCCTTTTGCCAGGCAAAAGACCTGGCTCCTGCTGGATTTCGGTTGTCTTGAGGCCCATGCCTGGTATCCCTGATGAGGATGAGGATTAGGATACAATTATTTTGTCTTAGCTTTTTCGTACATCCCTTCATGTTTCATTTTTCTTCATCTTACTTGATTAGATTACCCTCATCTATTATCTACACACCACTCAATGGAAGTATAACGTGTTTTGGATCTTTTTATCTGATGTGAATTTGTCTATTATCTACATGGTCTAACTCCACCACTCAATGGAAGTATAATGTGCCTTTAATCTTGTTACTTGATGTGAATTTGACCGTCTCAATATATCCAATTTGATAATTGATTCAAGATAAAAATTGCAGGTAGGCTGGTACAGGCGGTAGGAGGGTGGCTAGCCAAAATTAATTTGAACACCCATGTTTATCAACAATAATGCGTGACTTCATAAGTCACGCATTATTGTTGATAAACATGGGTGTTCAAATTAATTTTGGCTAGCCACCCTCCTACCGCCTGTACCAGCCTACCTGCAATTTTTATCTTGAATCAATTACAATGTCTACCGACTGGTCTATTGCCTTTAAGCCAATTCTCGACCTTCACTCTAAGGCCATTTTTGCTGCAGGTTCCTCATCTGTTGGAAAACCTGTGGTGAGGAAGATTCAGAGGGCCATACTAGCTGCTTGAGACGAGCAAGAGGAACCCATTGCCTTGCCTACTTCCTTGAAAAAGGTCACAAAATTTTTATACTGTATATGTATTTAGTTGTCTGATGATATACATAAATGTTACCTACAGGCAATAAAAGAATACTATGCCAAAAGTCTGAAAGACAAGGAAGAGGCAGACGAACGTGAGGCAGCGAGTCGCCCAAGAGAAGCATCTTTCTATAAGAAACCCCTGTCTGAGTGGGACATGGCACAGAAATTATTTAAGCAGGAGATCGACACATATGACAAGGCCCAACAACAGAGTAAAGGCTTGGAGTATTCAATCAAGTACCGCACTGGGAATGCCAGGGAATAGTTCAACAACATGACACCTTCACAACAGCAGGAGGTCAAGTTTGCCATGAAGAAATGGAATGAGGAGGGGGCGCCAGAAGAAACTCAGGCAATGTAAGTTTGACTTCAAATCTACAGTTATTCTAGTCTAACACTTTGGCTTGAGATACCGTGAGAACAACCTCAAGAAAACTCTGGAAGATTTTGCAGAGCAAATTCGGCGCACCATGGGTTGTCGTGTAGTAATGCTTGTTAGTCGTAAGAAAAAAGCTAGTCAGACATTGTCTGTTAGTCTGTAAGACATCAAATCAACAAGGAAATCTCAAGACTAACTAAACTATAGACACGAAACTACGCCTCAGAATGCTAAGAAAAAATTTTCTGTGAGCTCAAGTGGTATCAAGGAGTGGGCTTCGAATGGATTTGAATCCTTCGGAGAATGGTCTAAGACTGAATTTTGTACGTGTTTCATTTGATTTTAAATATCATGCTCACTAACTATTAAATTGATAGACCCTTCAGAGGATTCAGACCATGCAGCTTCAGACAGTGAGGATGGACCTGTCTTACCTGAAATCATAGTAGACAATGATGGATATGCAAAACTTCCTCTTCGTGATGGTATTGGCCTCAAGGGCCAACAGGAGTTGATTAGAAGTATCTTTCATACTTCATACAGTAAGATCTAATGTCTTCAATATATGCATGATATTTGATTGACTCAATGGTGTGTAGAAGTCTCCACAGGTGGCTCTAGACCTGTACCTTGGGGCGTGATAACTGCCAGCCCGTCCAATTATTTGGCACCTGGTTCAGTTCCCACAGGATTTGTAGTCAAAGACCCTTCTCATATGAAGACAGAGGAAGTAAATCGTCTATGGATGTATTGGGAACGACCCTCTACTGCAAATAAGAAGCTTGTTGTGTTTATCAAGGCTAAGGATGCTGATATGCGGGTCACTGGGAAGTCCAAGACAAAAGTAGTGAGCACCCTAGATGAAGAAGATCAAGACCGGCCGGCTTCCTTTGCCTCTCATTTCACAGAACGTACAACACATCCGGCCGCTCACACCCATGAGACCACCCCAGATGATGTTGCCATCAATGACCGATACACATTTTTAGAAACCCTTAGCAAGAGTGAAAACTACTTGGAGCTTGTAGATGCCACTAGGGACCTGGCAATATTAGCCAATCAGAAGGTTAGTGTCACTTGGTGCTGTTTTCAATTTTATGGCTTATATGTCCAACAGCCAATTTCAGAGCGACACCAAGATTTGCCTACCTGGGCTGACTGGTCTTGGAACGGAATTTATCTTCCTGAGGACATTCACACATCATATACGACATTGATGGCCAGCTTGAACAAGCTACAAACATGTCCAATCTCAGGACCGCCATCTGCAATGCCAGTAGTACTAGGAATTGGGCTCCTCTATAGGGAGTCTAAGCGCGTGATAGAGTATGAGGAGGATGAGGCTGATCCCAATACCCCTTTCTACCTACCTCATTCTGCTATTGATCTACAGTTCTTGGCCACTCTGGATGATGCTGTCCGGGAAGTCTTGTGCTCAGTCGTTGGTCACATTGAGAGGCTGACAAAGGAGGGACTCAGTGATGAGGATGAGAAGGTGAGGTTGGTGGTAGATGATGAAGGGGTGGTGGAGAAGGATGTTGAGTCAGAGGAGAATGTAGTTGGGGAAGAAGAACAGCAGGAGCAGGAGGTTAAAGAGGTGGTGCAGAAAGGGAGGAAGAGAGCCATTCACCATGCTTCATCAAGTAAGTCCAAGAAGCCTAGGACTGAGCCTGAGGTTCGTAGATCAGGTAGGGCAAGGCAACCCTCTAAGAGAAACCAGAAGGTATGATCTCGTATCCTTCATTGTCTTCATTGCTAGTTAATCTTGTACAGTAATTACATATGCTTGTCTAGACTTGGGCATTGGCTGGTGATAAGTTAAGACTTGAGTATAAACTGGCTTTCCTTGCTCTATGTACATATATATTGGCCAGCCTGGCTCCTACACAGGTAAATGCAGGATGGCCGGTATGCTAGTGTAATACCTGCAAACTGGCCAGCCTGGGTCCTACACAGGTAAATGCAGGACGGCCAGTATGCTAGTTTAATACCTGCAAACTAGCCAGCCTGGGTCCTACACAGGTAAATGCAGGACGGCCAGTATGCTAGTTTAATACCTGCAAACTAGCCAGCCTGGGTCCTACACAGGTAAATGCAGGACGGCCAGTATGCTAGTTTAATACCTACAAACTGGCCAGCCTGGGTCCTACATAGGTAAATGCAGGATGGCCAGTATGCTAGTTTAATATCTGCAAACTGGCCAGCCTGGTTCCTACACAGGTAAATGCAGGACGGCCGGTAGGCTAGTTTATGACTTACAAACCGGCCAGCTTGGTTCCTACACAGGTAAATGCAGGACGGCCGGTAGGCTAGTTTATGACTTACAAACCGGCCAGCTTGGTTCCTACACAGGTAAATGCAGGACAACCAGTAGGCTAGTTTATGACTTACAAACTGACCAGCCAGACCTCTACTTAGGTGGATGCAGGGTGGCCAGTATGCTAGGTTAAGACATATAAACTGGCCAGCCTTGCCTCTACCAAGGTAGCCACAGGGTGGCTGATATGATAGGTTAAGACCTACAAATAGGCTGACTTGGCCTCTAGGTACATACCAGACAAAGTGTGACTGGTTGCTACTGGGATAAGACCTACCACTGGCCAGCATGGCCTTTACATAGGCAGATATGGGGCAGCCGGTTTGCTAGATTAAGACCCACATACTGGCTGGCCTGGTTTCTGCTGAGGTAGATATGGGGTAGCCAGTATAATGGTATAAGACCTACCAACTTGACATACTAGATACAGAGTGAACTTTGTGTAGAGTCCAGGCTGGCCGGTTCGGTAGGTCTTATCCTAGTAGTATATCTTATACCAGTATACAAGCCACCCCACATCTAGGTCTTAATCAAACATATTGGCCACCCTGCATCCTACCTATGTAGAAGCAAGGCTGGCCAGTTACAAATATAGATGTGAAACAGCCAACATCCTAATACACCAGCAAGCCTTGATCTTGGTATACCTACGGCCGGCAGTTGTCTTACATCTTCTGGCTGGTCATGCTTTTACAATAAGCTAGTGTATTATACATGTGGACCATTACTAGTGTTTTATATATAGTAAACTATATGAGGCCGGCCAGCATGTATTCTACATAGACCGGCCGGGGACTGGCTGGCCATGATTCTACAGAGTTTTGGCACATCCGGGGCACTGGTTCTACATAGGAAAGTGACTGAAGTATGTGAATGATCACTAATTTATCATGCATAAAGAATTCCTTGTGGGGCAGTAAAAAAGTCTCTCTAAACCACTAAGTTGTCTATTTTATTGAAATTATCATAAATTAGAGAAAGTTTTACATACTTAGCCTAAATTTGTAGCGGAGGGTTTTCCTGATGGATGTGGCACTGCATACACTAGATTGGAGCATGCGGCGTCTGTAAGCAGCCTTGACCTCCAGATCACTAACTACATTTTCACTATTCAAGTCACAGGCCCACAGCTCAGGGCCAGGCCAAAGCTGTAACTTTTGGGCCAAGCTGGGCCAGAACATTACTAGCATTGAATCACATATGTACACCAGCACTACTGCAAATGTTTCACTCATGCACTTACAGGGTCCTTGTCCGGACATTTCCGACGCGCAAGTTTTGATTCTGTGATTCCACATAGTTTTGGAATCAGCTGTAATTGGAAGGGCTTGAATTGATGACTACGAAATACATACACAAGAAACTACATACTCGACTGAGTTGACTGGCCATCTTGGCTCAGGTCACATACTTTATGAATACACTTTTTCCAGAAGTCATACACCCGACTGTTGTCTAGTTCAACCGAAACTAACCTTGAATAGTGACTATCGACCCTAGACCGGTGTCCTTGTCTCACTCGATAACGAGAATGATGCCGAAGGTTTCGTCGCTTGATAATATTGAACGCCTGTGCTAACACCAAGAATCTCGTCTGCTTCTCGGGACCCAGCGAGCGGGATGTCTTTCCGAAGCGAAACCTTAACAGGATCTTCCCCAGTAGTGTGCGCCAGCGCAAACACAACGTCGAGGTCTTTCATAATACAATTAGCCAGGAGCTAAGCGGAAGACGCGCAAAGCTCACCTTCTAAAGACCGACCGCCGGTTTCGGGGAAGAAAAAGTAAACAACTGGAACAATAGCTGCATTCAAGGCTGCGAAAACGATGTAGGTTCTCCAGGAGATGTTGTTAAAGGACGGGCCAACGACCATCACGACGACGAAGTTGAAAGTCCAGTTTGACGCTGGGAAAAGAATAGGTAAGTTAAATTTATATCCATGTCTTGGCGTACGAGAGTGACAAACCTGTGCTTAGTGCATTTGCTTGTGCACGGGTTCTGAGCCCGGCAAGTTCAGCACACTAGAAATCAACAAAAAAATATCAGATCAAAAAAAGATTAAAATCGCCGTTGCTGTACTCACGTACAACCAGGCCATTCCGAGCCACCCAATAGCAAAAAATGTGTTAAAGCCGAATAACAGGACTACGCTCATGATCTGCGCTGGTCCATTGTTGATATATCCTAAGATAGCCAAGAGCAGCATCACAATGGATTGACCGATGGCTCCAATCAGCATGAGTTGACGCCTGCCTACATAGTCTATCGCATAATAAGCAATAAAAGAGGCAAGAAAATATTCTGTGCCATTGGCAGCAGCAGTAATCCGCGCGTTGACATCGGAGAGACCAAGACGCTGGAATAAGATGGTCTGCGTGATATCAGTATTGCCACAGTAGATCATGCGGTGGTATAACATACAGCGTAACTGTTGAGAGCGCATTTTTAGATCACGACGAGTCACAACATGGAGCTGAGATACCCACTAGGTAACGAGGTTGATGCCGGTCAGCTGCTGCATCATCTGACATACCACAGCAATGACTGTTCGTCTGAAGTTCTGGCTGCGACCACCGGTAATGAGTTCACGTAGTGAACCTTGACCAGTAGTAGATGTTTCAACAGCAACAGCCTCGCGAATGCCGTAGTAGGTGCGCTGAACTTCTGGATCAGATGGAGGTTTGTCCTCCATTGCGGATATAACGGCCATCGCTTCTGCATTTCGACCATGCTTTACCAACCTAAGATTCTGATCAGCTTCGCAAAAACCACAGAGAATGACAAGAACTCACCATCTCGGTGACTCAGGAAGCTTACGTAGCGTGCCAGATCGAATCCGTTAGTACAAGTATGCACATTTTTAGGGGGAGAGAACCCACAAATCCGATGCATGCCACCACAATAATTTCAAACACTAACTGCAGTGATATCGGAACTCTCCACTGAGCAGACGACCAATTCACGAAGAATCTGATTTGATCGTTTTTATCGGTCAGTCAAGCCTAACGTGGGTATGACACCGAAACGTACAGTGCTAAATCGATCCACTAAAGAACCACGTCAGAAAAATGAACGAATGGAAATAACGGCTCGCGTACATAGCTGTAAGACAGCAATCAATTTAACAAAATAAATAAATACAATGACGCACTCACGCGATGGCCACTCCAGCCACAATCAGAGTCCCCTCCATCATAATCCTAGAAGAGTTCTGTGAGTCATTTATCGTATTGCATATGAATGGCATACATTCGACCCCTCTTTGCGGAGGGGGAGAGCTCCGCATGATATGTTGGCACTGTCGATGTCTACAAAATTGTTTCAGCAGGACTTTGGAGCCAATAATAAGCACCACTGACTATCAGACCAGTTCCGCAGCCCGTAAAGATACGAGCAAAGATCAAGTGTGCAAAAGAAAATGCAGTCGTTTGCAGAATTGCCCCTGAGGAATTCAGCTGGTGCTCTTAACGCGATATGATTCACCTACCGATCATCATTATACTGCCTCCTAAAGCGATTGTTCTACGGCGACCGAGCTTATCTCCAACCCAAAGATTGGAAAGAGCACCGAAGAGGCAGCCTACTTCCTGCATTGTATAAGCACAGAAGATGGCGTACAGACGGTGAAAACATACATAAATGGCAATTGTGAAACTCTGAAGAGTTGCATGATTAGGGTGGCTAGCCTCCACTACGACTTCAGGGAAGGTAGCCTCAAACTTTTATAATGAGATTCATATATTCCCATGCAAGCAATAGAATACGTCGTTACCTGATTGCCCGTAATTAGTGACGACATGACACCTTGGTCATACCTGAATCGCAAAATGAGAATATTTTGATTGTGAGTTACTTCTTAACGCACCCAAGGAGGGTGAATCCAGTTCCTGCTACAAACGCCACTGCAGCCGTTAGCTTACGACCACGCAACGATGGCGCATGGATAGCGATATCCGCTGGGTCCAAGTCGAATTGTTGGTTTATCTGTTCTTGGTCAGCATCAATCTTTTCTGCGATAGATGGCCAATATTTCTCCTGATTAGTTGGAGGAAGAGACATCATAGTACTGCGTGGGTATATATTATTGTTGTTGAAGAACGAGATTTATATACTTGGGTGGCTTGCCTTCGAATCTGACAAATGGGAGCTTATCTCCACGCTGCTGATGCGCATCAAAGAACTCGTGAGTCTCCCCAGGGTGCTTTACGTTGATTACGGTGGTTTTCCGACGTTAGACATGGCTTTATATCACTTTATAACGAAAACCTTTTCTATATATGATCATATATCGGCATATATGACAATATCTGCGGCTCACCAGTCCTCCGATGCCGCGACCTCGGGACTCCTGACCATCAAGTGGGAACCAGGATGCAGCTGCGGAGATCAAAATGATTCTGCCGTTCATGATGGGAGATAAGGTCAACTATCGAATTGTACGGTTCGGATTCTGTGATGCAGAGCGGTGATGACGTCCTGAAGAATCCAAGATGTTCTATATATAAGAAGCTCCCGGTTTCAGTCGAGTATTATGGGTCGCGACACGTTCCTTGCATAAAAAATAGACCGGTGAATTGCTTGAATATAGCGCTAGAACCTGTCTGATGAAAGTGTGAAACTTAAAGATGTTACTAAGGGCGACCAGCATTAAAGTCCCGAGGCTCTCGGCGAATCAAAGACACGAGGCAGACGAGAAGTCTTTAATATTAATGTACGCGCAAGCTACAATGATGTGGTTAGAAGATGAGAAAGGTTTGATGGTGATCAACTGGATCAGCATGAGAGTAGGTACAGAAATACTGACAGCTTACAACAGATAACTTGCTAAATACTTGATTGGCACGGTTCACTGTAACTCTCACAAAATGTCGGCAGGAGAGCCCGCGGTGCCAGATGGAGACAGCAATCTCGACGCTGGACCCTGGTAGATATCAACCGGACTGTGATTCGTTGTTGAACCAGCTCAGAAGTAAAGAAGAGGTGAAGAATTTGAAAGTGATATTCAATTGCGATTGGGTGCCGGAGGACTTTGCCGGAGGACGTTCCCACCATGCGTATGGACCCTCCTCGAGACGGGTCACAGCAGACAATGTTTACTCCCTAGAATTCGGTACCAGCAATATGGAACATAATCATGTCCTCCAGTCCACCAGTAACAAAACCAAATTTAACAGTGCGCTTACCGTATGAGGATTTACGCAAAGTGATGCTATACCCATGATGATGGGGACGCTCGAACTTCGTGGACACACTGTTTTGGTGATATGTGCCTTACAAGGTGGCAGCCATCGGAGATGGTGACACGTATGTTGTTGTGGTCATCGTTGTAACTGCAGGTGGTCACAGTACGTTTAAGGTCAGTACCTAGCTGTCGTTTCTGCAGGCGTTCGGATGATCAACCTAGGATCATTTTGCATTTCTGCAGCAACTTGGCCGAGGAGTTAAAATTGAAAGCATGGGAGCAGGGCTTCTCTGGACCGGCAGATTTTCTACAATCCCTCGACTGCCTATTCCCTTTTCCATATCTGACTTAGGTGCGCTCACCTTCGTTATGCTTCGTCACCATACCGCAAGTCCTTACCCTTCAGAACGCTCTTCAACGTCCTTGATCACCTTATATGTCTGTACATGTCGAAAAAACATGGTTTTGGGCGTGCGTGAACTCTTCGCTCGGTCCCTCCGTGACGTTGGCGTCCCACGCAAAATCATGGTATGCGAAACCAAAGGACTTCACGAGATCAGCTATACCGGCGACCACTGTGTGCGTGGCAATTGGAGGATGGCAAAATAAATTTGCACCCAGAACTTTTCGGACTGAGCGTTTATCCACCCCACACGTAGCTGGCCGAACGTCGGGCAGAGAATGCAGGGACATTTAAGGTACTCGTCAACTCAGGCAATGTCATTACTATAAATTGTATGTATTGGCGCGTCTCAGTCGTTGCAGGTGCCTTCACCACACTGGCAGCATAACAAATCAACGTCTATCGTGCCGTCAAGGGACCCGAGGCTGAATAATCTGTATGCTCGCTAGAGTCGCCACGATGCTGGCATGAATGCTGAGTTTGAACTTAGGCATTAATATTTTGACGAGCAGCAGCTATAAAGCACGTGAGCACAGAACTGACGAACAACAGAACGAACAACAGACCCGCGATTGCACTATTTGTAAACTCGCACTTTCGATGGTAAGAGTCCAGTCACCAACCTGTGGATCCAACTCATGGTACTAATTGTTTAGATGAACTGTGACCTCTTGTCAACCATTCTCCTGACATTAATGGCTATCAGTCCGCTTGGCGCACGAGCCATGCCTGGCTCAGAGACCGTGAATGGCCTGTCATGCACTTGGATTAAGTGTGGACAAATGTGCCCAGGAGCTGTCGCAGACAGCACAGGTTGCACCGACTCAAAAGGTATCGTGGCGACTCAGTACTGCTGTGATTGATGGCCGCCGTAACGGGTGAGGTTGCAGTGTAGAGGCGTAGAGGCATAGAGGCATAGAGGCGTAGAGGCGTGGGGCAAGTATTGTGATACAAGGAATCCAGAAATGTCGGCGATCAGATATTTCATCAGAATTGCAACTATCAGAGATCGGGATATGAAAGAACGTACTATTCGATCCAAGCGGCGAGTGAGGATGAAATGCGCAGCAGCAGACTTGGAGCTTAACTTGAAGTGGGAGGGGTTCAACCGACCGGCCATCTCGTGGCGCTCGAACTTTGCAATTGTGTTGTACTAATTAGATATCAAGTGTCTGAAATACTGGATCCACTGGTCACGTGCCCGTAAACTTAACCCGGTGTGCATGTGCACTGTGTTTCCGAGCATACTTTCTTCAAGCTGAAGCGCTGACCACTTAGTCCAGTCTCGACAAAGATTTCCTGTATTGATGGCCACCAAACATACATAACTTGAATAAAATACAAGGACTTGTTTCTCCCCCTAGCCTAGCTCATTCAATTTGCGACCACACGATTCTGCAACTCGCATCCCAATACGATTGAATCGTAAGCAGCTTACTGTTAGGTTTCAATGCAGCAATCGCATCTACACCTGTTTTCTGACTTTTCCCGATGAAGAGGATGGCGTGGGAGGGTTTTCCGAAGGGCGTGGGCTGACTCCAAGAATCTCGTCCGCTTCTCGCGTTCCAGCAAGCGGGACATCTTTCCGAAGTGAGACCTTGACAGGATCTTCACCATTTATGTACGCCAACGCAAACACGACGTCGAGGTCTTCCAGGGTAGAATTAGCCAGGGGTCGGTCCTGGACAGAAGACAGTGTAAAACGTACCTTCTAAAGACCGACCACCGGTTTCGGGGAAGAAAAAGTAAACAACTGGAACGATGATCGCATTCAGGGCCGCAAAGACAATATAGGTTCGCCAGGAAATATTGTTGAAAGCTGGGCCAACGACCATCACCACGACGAAGTTGAAAGTCCAGTTTGACGCTTGGGGAAAGAAGGTGAGTAGATCTGTCTTCTCGGCGTAAGAGATTGACAAACCCGTGCTTAGCGCATTTGTCGGCGCTCGAGTTCTGAGCCCAGCAATCTCAGCGCACTGGAATATCAGAAATTAAAAGATCGGATCAGCGAAAAAGATCTAAGCAGCCGTTGGCAACTCACGTATAACCAAGCTAGTCCAAGCCAGCCAAAAGCAAAGAACGTGTTGAAGCCAAATATAAGGACCACGCTCACTATCTGCGCGGGGGTATTATTGATATATCCTAAGATAGCCAAGAGCAGCATCACGATGGATTGACCAATAGCTCCAAATAGCATGAGGTGACGCCGGCCCACATAATCTATAGTATAATAAGCAGCAATAGAAGCAAGAATATACTCTGCGCCGTTAGCTACAGAGGTGATCCGTGCGTTGACCTCGGAGAGACCAAGACGCTGGAATACAATAGTCTGTATGATTTCAGTATTGACGCAGCAGGCCGTGTGGCCGCATGACATACAGCATAACTGTTGACAACGATGCATTTTTAGATTACAGCAGGTTGCATCCGAGTCGGAGGAATGAGATACCCACAAGGTAACGAGATTGATGCCGGTCAGCTGCTGCATCATCATAAATACTACAGCAATGACCGTTCGTCTAAAGTTCTGGCTGGGACCCCCGGTAGTGAGTTCACGTAGTGACCCTTGACTAGATGCTTCGACAGCAACAGCCTCACGAATGCCGTAGTAAGTGCGCTGAACTTCTGGATCAGAGAGAGGTTTATCTTCCATTGCGGATATAACGGCCATCGCTTCTGCATTGCGACCACGCTTTACCAACCTGGGTTTCTCATCAGTTTCACGAAAATCATGGAAGGTGACGATAACTCACCACCTCGGTGACTCGGGTAGCTTGCGTAGTGTACCAAATCGAACAAGTTAGTACACACAGTCTGCTGAGAAGCAAACTCACGAATCCGATGCATGTCACCATAATGATTTCGAACACTAACTGCAGCGCTATCGGAACTCTCCACTGAGCAGACGACCAATTTACGAAAAATCTGATTTGATCGTTGTCATTGGCTAGATCAAGCTTAACTGCAGATAAAACTGAAACATACAGCGCCAAATCAACCAACTAAGAATGTTGTCAACAAAAATGATCTAATAAAATAACGACCCACACACATAGCTGCAAGCCAGTCGTCAATTCCAAAAATATCGATGCAAAGCATACTCACGCGATGGTCACTCCAACCACGATCAATGTCCCCTCCATCATTATCCTAGGAAAAATCTGTGTCTTTTCATTAAAGTGCTCTTAATAACGTACATTCGGCCCCTCTTTGCGGAAGGGGAGAGTTCCGCGTGATATGTGGGCACTGTCGATGTCTACAAACTTGTTTTCAGTAGGACTTTGAACATGAGTAGGTACATCACTGACTATCAGACCGTTTCCGTAGCCTGTAAAGATACGAGCAAAAATTAAGTGTGCAAAAGAAAACGCAGTAGTTTGCAGAATTGCCCCTGTAGGGAATTCAGCTGATGCTCTGAACGGGTCACAGACAGCCCGGTTACCAACTATCATTATACTGCCTCCTACAACAATCGTCCTTCGACGACCGAGCTTATCTCCCACCCAAAGATTGGACAGGGCACCAAAGAGACAGCCCACTTCCTGCACGTTATGAGCACCAAAGATGAAGTAAAAAGGATGACAACATACGTAAATGGCAATTATGAAGCTCTGAAGAGTGGCGTGATCGGGGTGACTGGGCTCTACTACAACTTCAGGGAATGAACCCTCAAACTGGTACAATGAGATATGGTCATTTCCATGCGAGGCTTGATAGAACACATGTTACCTGATTACCCGTAAGCAGTGACGACATGATACCTTGATCATATCTGAATCGCAAAATAACGAGAATGTTCGATTATAGTTACTTCCCAACGCACCCAAAGAGTGTGAACCCAGTTCCTGCTACAAACGCCACTGCAGCCGTTAGCTTATGACCACGCAGTGACGGAGTATGAGCAGCGATATCTGCCGGATCCAATCCAAATTGTTGTTTGAACTGCTCATGATCAGTGTTTTCTGCGACAGACGATTGATGTTTCTGCTCGTCAGATGAAGGGAGAGACATAGTGCTGCGTGTGTATTGACTTGTTTTGCAGAAGACGATAATTAAATACCTCGGCTTCCAAGTTTAATCCTGATATGGATGGTCGTGAGGGTATGTCTACTGACGACCTTAGGATGACCTCCTGGAATCGGAACGCAGTCCGTAATATAAATCTTGTCTGCTGTCCACAATGGGATATAAGGTCCATGATCACATTGTACAGGTCGAGTTCTATCACGCAGATCGGTGACAACGTCCTGAGGAATGGGAGTATTTTCTATAAGAAGCTCCCGGCCACGTCATTTTTGCAATATCGTGGCTCGTGACACGTTTGTGGGACAAAAATAGATTGGCGAAATGGACTTGAATGCAACACTACTGAGAATTTGTTCGACGAAACATCATGAAGGTGTGAAAGCGGGGAATGATATTGGCGATCAACGACAGGCTCACGAGGTCTTCGGCAATTCGAAGATACGATGTAGAAGAGAGTTTTGAATTACACGCAGGCTATTCAATAGCAATGGTGTGATTAAATGTAATGAGGCTTCAAGACGGCGATCAGCTAGATATCGGTAGGTATGACAGAGAAGTACTAGGAGGGCTTACAGTAGATCGGCCTTGCTTGGACCTGATCGTAGGGACCAAGCTCGAATTACCCGACGAATCCTGGGAGGAGAACGTGCGTCCACATACCGAGAAGCAATCTCTACGCTTGTAAGCGAACAAGGCTGCCAAGTTTTGGTAGCTACGCAAAGTGCCGTCGGCCCTTGCCGGAGGATCGGCGGCACCGTCCGACAGTCTACTAATGATCATCCCGAGTTGATCCCGAGATCATTCATCGGCGAATCATATGAACGAACCCCCGCAACGTTAATATTTTCAACCTTTTCATGTCCTTTCGCCTGCCATCGGATACATCTTTTATTTTCCAAGACATCTCCAATAAGCACACGAGGACCTGCGGCCACAAAGTTACCACAGGTTCAAGTTGTCATAGATGATGAGCAAAGGGTGTACTAGGATGGGGCCGACGCTTCATCGGCATACCCGACTACCCGTCGACCGAGAAACCCATCTTGGTTGATCACTTGTTCAGTAGTCAACGCTCAGCGCCGCCACAACCGTCAATACCATTACTCTTGCCTGAAAGGTCGTTATTTCCAAATTCCAAATTCTACATTTACGCCCATGGCAAGAGATATCGACTAACGTTCTAAGGCCAGCGGCGCTAGTAACACTAGTTCCACGGACATGATTCAAATCGAGTCACCCGTTTTTCGAAAAGAATCCCCTTTATTATACTTTTGGGGTCATCAGCCATGCTTCTTCCGCCAGTGGGCGAGCTCGATTGTCCGTGATTCTTAGAATTTTAGAATGCGTCGGCAATTATGCTCCCATCGCTGACCTATTTCGGACCTGCGGGTGATCAGACATCACAATAGCCCATTCCGACAACTCATCTCGCCAAACTATTACGGGTGCAGGCGTACAAGGTGGGGTTTATTCTCAAACGATTAGACATAACGGCACGTTCATATATAATAGGACTCTCGGTTATCTATTAATCGAAGTAAGTCGATCGTGGAAGTGAGATGGATCGCTGACATACTCCCTTCCAAGGTCCAAATTTGAATAAAGTTGAGTTCTGTCCTCCCACCGGGGTTAAGATCAGTTTACCTGTTCTCTTCGTGTTATTGGTATGTTGCATTGTGGCGTTTCCCTATCCACTTTGTTCTGTAGCTTGGCAGCCTCGTGTTTGTAGGTATCCTTGGACACCGCAGTCCGATCTCAAGATCCCCACATTGTCAAAACAAAGCTTATCCTTGACCACAGCTGTGTATCTTCCATATAAAATCCCTTTCGTCTGTCAGTTTTCTTCAGCCTCCATCCCCGACAATCATGTCATACTTTATTCCCGCTGCAAACTCCAATCTTACCAACAAACGCGGACAATCTCAGGCCACTTCGCATTACACGTCTTCCTCGGTTCCCTCGTCCAGTGGCGGGGGCACGCAGCCGCCACCACCGACGAGATATATCCCTCCCCCTGCCGGTGCCATGCAATCATCTGGCCAAACAGTGCTTAATTGCCCGCACTGTAATGAAACTCTCCCACCCGGCCTTGATCTCGCCACTCATCTTGTTGGATGTGGCGTAGCGGAGCTTCTCACCAAGGCCTATACGCCCTTTGATTATCCCTTCCGGCCGAAACACACGGGAGGTCAGCCCCCCAATTTCCAACCTTCTCCGCCGAATTATAACGGCAGATCAGGTTCGCGCAGATGATTGTAGCGTGAGTAGTATCTTTTGTCCGCGCATTGACGCTCATCCTGTGGTTCGCTTCAGAAGCTGTCCGACTGTGTCACCGCTTTGTACTTTAAACCATCACGAGTGCCCTGCTTTTTTTTTTCCACACTAGACGCCGCATGAAACGCATACATGTTGGCTGATCTTTATCAGACAAATTTTTGGCACTGCCTCGCTATTGCATACGCTTTCCCATACACCTTATTGTCTCTGATACTGCTTTGGTTTTGATTGATTGTTTTGCCGTTTGTAGCTTACCTGACTTGATATCGGATTTGGTGTATCACTTCTTTCTGGTGTAACTTGTTTCCGACGTGCCTGACTACACAATCCAATAATAATTTGAATGATCTTCCTTTACAATTTACCTACTTACACGTAAGGCACAAAAGAATGTGAACGAGTAGGTCAATAGTAATACAACGTCTACACCGCATAACTTCCCGTGGAAGGATCATGATAAAAGAGCGGAGGTATCATTATGAGAGTCCAAAACAAGCACACAATGTCATTTAGCTATTGGCAGCCACCATCACCACAATCTTGTCCTTCTCCTTCTCCCGTGACAATTCGTTGGAGCTACGGGGACTAGAATTCAGCACGCCATCAAGGTTTGTAAGACCGAGACCCGTGACAGCTGACAGCACGCCACCTTCAGACGGGCGCTCTCCGTCGGGACGCCCACGCCCCTCTCCCGCGAAGCGCGCTCTGCCTCTTGACAGATGTCCTGCCCGTCTCCCTCGGTCCTCCCGCTCACGGTCAGCAGAAGACCGGTGTGCTTGCGTCGATGCATCCGTGCCCAGTAACCGCATTTCACCTTCTACATCCCGCGTGCGTCCATAGTTATGCAGTGTGTTGACGATCAACACAAAGTCGATCAGCCCGACTATGAATAGTGCCGTGATGGCGATGCGCGGGCCCAATACGGCGGTTGGGGAGAGCGGTGCGGGGCTGGTAGTATCTGTTGAAGAATCAGAGCGCCACACAAAGGAGAGAATGGCGGCTATGAAGAAGCACATAGACCTATCAGGCACAGGTGAGTGTGAGAGCGTGATGGGAACGGGAAGGACAAACCAGGCAAGCCATACAGCAGGCATTGCTAATAGTACCCACACATTCCACCAAATGAATGTTGTTGTTTTACGTGCTTCCTGTGGGGTTGCTGTGAGCGTGCGTGAATGGACGGCAGTGCTATGCGCCACGTACCTCAGCCCAACGGGTGGCTTTGTACATACTTCTCATGGTGCCAAAGCGGACAATGTAGATACAGCCGAAAAACAAGCTCATCAATGCAGATGTCAGCGAAAGTAACGCTGCTGTGCGGATCACAGGATCCTGAGCCATCACAGTATTCTGAAACATTGATAATATGGCACTGTGGGAGGAGCATTTAACAATTTCCAAACGTGAAACAACAGTAGTAACTTACGAAAGCAATAAAGCGGAGACCAGGTTTAGGGTCTTCCACTCTCGGAGTAGGGAGTCAATGAACGCCTCCCAGGAATGCTTGAATCTGATGAGAGCTGGGGAGACGTTTGCGATGGTCCATTCATCTGCTAAAGGAAGAGCAGGTTGTGGGTGGTAGTGAGCCCCTGGCGGTATGGGGCTGGAGGTGGGGTTCGGCACTTGGGAGGCACAGGCTTCAATCAATCGTTCAATATCTGGGCGACTGAGCTCTGCATCTTGATAAATACGAGCGATGCGTGAAAAATAAAGAGAGGGAAGGCGAAGCAGTAAGTGCAGGTACATTTGTCGGGGGAGAGTATCCATCAAAAAATCACGAGAGGAACGAAGGAATTTCCGCGAAGCCTTCAAGGGGATACATGTTACTGGACGGGGTAGACATTGCTTGAGCGCGTCCTCGCAGTTGGGATCAAAGCTTTCATCATTGTTGCGATCAGGGCTACCGATAGAAAATCTGCGCAACGGGTTTCGCCTTTGGAAGGGGTTCTGAGGGACGAATGGCTCTTCGCGTGTTTCCCTACGACGAAAGGCAGGCCATGCGAATATACGCATGGGAGATGCAGCTCGAGAGTGTGAGGCGGAGGGAGATTCGTAGCTACCCTTCCTGGGTGTTTGAGCCTCTGCGCGCATGGCTGGGGATGGTCGAGGGGGGTCGCTTGGGCGGCGAAACCGAGATAGTGCTGACTCAATAAGCGGTGACCTTGGCGGAGCGCCGCCGTCGCGAAGTAAGGGGTGGTGCACGGTATTCCCTGGACGAGACATATTGCTGGGAGGAGGTGGTATGCGAGAAGGGCCGCTCTCGAAAGAGACGCGTTGAAATGGACTACCCTTGCTGGTGGCACCTTCTGAGGCGGTTGCCCTGGACATGTTAGGGGTGGAAGTATTAGGATGACGCGTGAAACCGTCCAAGGAAGGAGCCGATTGTGAAGTTTGAATGGCCTGACGTTCCATACTGCTTAAGACACGAGGACGCGACAAAGGAGTGCCGGGGAGTGCGGATAGCTTGTCTGAGCTAGTAAGCTCTGAATCACTACTAGATCTTGCAACTAGAATTTTAAATAAATTAGAGGCCTCTGGATCAGTTGAAAGGACAAAGGCGCACCATGAGATGGGAATGACTCGGCTCGGGTATTAGATGACAGCGCGTGCCGAGTGGTTGCTCGCTCAGATAACGAAGCTTGATCGATCTGATCTTCAAGGTGTGCAAAGGTGTGATTCATTAAGTTAAAAAAACGGAAGTCGTACAGGT